GGACCTTCTATCTTCAAAGATGAATCAACAGCTCGAAAACAAAAGCCTTGGGTGGCAACGGAGGGTAAGGAGGCAAGGGCAATACCGGCAATACCCTTACAAGATCCCATGGAACGAGAGCCAGAGACCCAGACCTCCGGCCTCGGATGATGCATCCAGAACGGTTCTGCACGAGGTTGCGTCCCATGTGACTTCTTCCCTCCAGGCACCCAGACCTGGCGCTACTTACAGCTTCCGCGTCTTCTCCGCCTTGTCTGTCAGCAGCTTGCAGCCTCCTGCCCGGGGCTCGATGAGAATACTGCCATGGCGGCTCGGTTTCCCGAGAGAACTTTCTGAAGGTGCTGGCCATGCAGGGCGGCCAGCCGCCAGGCACAGTGCTGCCATCTGGCTCGAGCGAGTCTGGCGTCCACTGGCCTTGCTTTGCGCGGGCCCTTGGGAGCCAGGGAGGGCAGCCGCAGTGAGGGCGATGCAACAGAGCATTTCTAACAATTCACGTCGTCTTTATTTGTTTTGCCGCCCTTTCGATTTCCAGGCCTTGACATTCGCGAGGAGTCCCTGCTGGCCGATTTGCTGAGGGCAGCAACTGTGCCTGTGCAGGATCGGCCCGGACTGTGAAGTGTTCGTCGGTTGTAGGGACACAGATCGCAATCGGAATGAAGTTTGCAGACCCAATGCTAGCTATGCCATACTCTATTCTACTCTCTCCCACCCTACTACATTAAACTGTACAGTAATCTAGTAATCTACTGTATCATATTAACTTATGATACGCTTCTTGATGTTATGCTGAAACATGCAGCAGGCCGTTGATCGCTCTTTCTCTGCACCCTTCACGGCAGCCGGCGACTTCTGGCCATTTGTCGCACGGGAGGCCGGAGTGATTTTGCTTCCAACTGCTACTGCTGTTACGCCTACCCTAAAACCTGAACTCCAACAAGCCCAGAATCCAAAGCATCATCAAGCTTGCCTGGATCGCAAGGTCTCAGAAGCATGCCAGGAGATCTCTGCGGCGTGGTCTGGAGCCTCGAAATCTACGGGCGAGGCGCCGACCTGCCAGCCGGGTCTTTCTTTGTGTTTCTGTCCTTGGATTAGAACTGCTATTGCCACTACTCCTACTTTTGTCAGCCGTCACGTGCGTAACGGCTGCTCTGAGACCCTTGATTCCGGGACCTATGCGGACACGTTTCCAGGACCTGCAGCCGATCCTCCGGAAATTGACGGAGTGCTTGAGCGCTGTCAAGACTGACCAGGCAGGAGGGAAATCCAGCAAGGAAGGAGAGCTGCCTTTAGTGCCGAAGCTGCGGAGGTCTCCTCATCTTTGCCACGTTGGGAGGAGGCCCTACAGATTCTCCGGGAATTTAACTGCAAGCTTCGCCACCGGATCCCTCGATAGACTCGATAGATCTTCGGACAGGTTCGGGAAGCTACTCGCGAGCGGCGGCTTCAGCTGCGGCAGAACATGGATAGCTTGGAGATCGACATTAGTGATCTGATTGCTCCTCGCCCGCACTGATCTGGTTGGCTCCGGCCCTCTCCTTTCCTTTTGGTCATGCAGACACAGGCCTGTTCGCCCCAGTACTGCAGTTCAGTTTTCTCAGGCACATGCTCTTCATGCAGAGGGAGGCCTTTGCTTGAACTTTTACTTCAAGGGTGCTGATTCACTTTCTTAGCTTTGCATGGAGTATACGAATTCATGGCACATGTACTGTGCTTCAGGCAGCACACGGTGTAGCATCGGCATTGCCGTGCTGTCGCGAACGCTGCAGAATTTGATCAGCAGAGTCTGACTGTGACAGGCCTCTGTGGGGGGCGGAAGCGTCGCTGCGGGCATGCGTCTGACGATGATGCTTGGCAGTTATCATCATGCTTGCGATCATCCTAGCACTTAACATGCTGTTCCGCATGAATCCTGTTCGAAAATGTTGCTCATGCTTCGAGTCTCCGTTTATTGCAACTCAATCCCCGATATAAGGCATGCCCCGTCTCAGTACGGCCGATGCTCCTATTATCATCACTGACCTTACGGGTATCATGAGCTTATGTAGCCTACTGCACGAAATCTTCACAGTCTCGCTTATTGCTGAGGTTCTTTTCAGTTCTTACCATCATTATGGCTCTTGGTCCCATGTCTCTCCTAACCATGACTAATATCTACCAATGCTGTTGCCACCCTAACCGCTGTATGCTGTGCCCATGCGAAGGCACATGGCCGCCACACTGTACTTGTTTGCTGCAAAGGCTTGTGTGTGATTACGCAATTGCACAGAGCGTCTGCATGTACAAAGTTACATTTTCGGTGCAGGTTCATATGCAATATGTCCTCAGGGACATTCAACTGGCCAAACCAGCAGTGAACCTGAACTTCACGAAACTACATAACCTGCCTTGCGCAAGACCTGCAGGGAAGTTTGCGACTGCCCTACTGTAAGGTTGCTGGTTGAGGCCCAAAGCAGCAGTTCATCTGGCCAGACAACAAACTCGAGAATCTGACAAGCAAGCGTTCCCCCCATAGTTTTTTCGCTTTCTCCGGTCTTAGAGGACAGCGGCGAAGTTCCTGCACCAAAGCGATTGGCTCGGGCACTGTGCCTCAGCCTATTGTTATCAGTGTCGGCACAACATGTCTCGTCGTCATAGTCGTAGGCCGCCACGGGAGTCGCCGTCGTCTACTCGTACTCTTGCCGTTTGTCTTGTCATTGTTATTCCTACTCCTCCTCCTCCTCCTACTACTACTACTACTACTACTACTACTGCTACTATGACTGTTGCTGCTGTTATTGCTCAAATTTTCGATGCTGCCGTCACTGTCACTGCTAGCGATACAGTTGCCGTCACTCTCGCTACTGTCTTTGTGTCTGAAAGCCACATAGATCTGGCTCCGGCTTCTTTATGGTGCTATAGTACATCTCAGGTTTCTTTCCAACATGAAGTCAGGATCGGTATGGGTATTTTGCTGCCGTGGCTCCTGTGAACCCTAAGCCCGAGATCCCCAAACCCCCTACCCGAGCCCTAAACCGTAAACCCTGAATCCTATACCCCAAACCCTGAATCCTATACCCCAAACCCTGAATCCTAAACCCTAGACCCTAAACCCTAAACCCTAAACCCCAAACCCCAAACCCTAAACCCTCAACATTCGCAGGTTCCTTGGTCGTCCTGGCGGCAGCTGACTCCGGGCATGAAGTCTTTGTGGCTCCCTTTGAGCCGAAGCGGCCGAGCGCAGACTAAGGTCCCCGAAGCTTGTAGCCGTAGTGTCGATAGAGGAAAAAAGGTGAGTCGAGGCGAGAAAGGCATCGGTAGAGCTCTCAGAAGAACCGCCCCGATCCGACGCCCTACAAGCAGCGCACTTTGCAAAAGAGCGTCGGCCTTTAGCCTCCTAAATCCTAAAGTCTGAAGCCCGCAAGAAACAATTATGCAGCTTGTGCATGTGAAATTCGGACTGCACGGGATTTGAGGGCCAGGCCAGTGAGGTCCTGGCTTGGTCTCCAGTCTCTTTTAGCTTGGGCTCTCTCTGGAGATGTTTGGTCCGACCATGAAGGCAGCAATGTGCCGGGTTCTGGGGTCTAAGGTCGGTGTGAGGCTTGGGTTCAGCTTTCGTATTTTCGGCAGAGCTTTGCGGCACTCAGAACCAGAGATAAGATGAATGCCGGGTGCAGTGTCCTGGCGTGTGCTTGACGTGCAGAGTGCCCTCCGTAATTCCACCCCCCTCTGCCCAGCCAGTCCGGAGATGTTGTTTGATTGCTGTCCTGGAGTCAAGATGGAATCATCATGTTCCTACGGGCAGCATTAATTCGCGCTCATTTCTGCTTAGCCTCGAGACACACTTCGAGGGGCCACAGCTAAGCCCCGGCAAAGGCTTCGACGTTAGGGCCTTGTGCAGTTGCTGGAGGCCATGATAGCAGAAAATCGAAGCCTTCCATAAGGAGTTGCTGTCACTGGGCTGGTAGAAGAACATGTCGCAGATATGCCAAGGAGAGGAGACTGTGCCGTTTGTGTTGACGAGCCATCTTCAAGCAGAAGCGCTCTTGCAGCTCGACGTAGCCCTTACCTCGCCCGACGCCGCTGAACCCCCATTTTCCTTCCGATGCCTGTCATGACAACCGTGGAGCCTAAAGCTTCGAAGAACGACAAGACCTTGACGCAAAAGCCCCGAGACCTAGACTTTGACCCTGCAGCGTAAGCCCCATGGCCCATTTCAGATCCAAGATGGGCCTGTCATGGTTTGGCTGCGGCAGCCAGCTGCGTGCATCCCGGCGCCTGGGCCCTGGTGTCAGGGATTTGAAGCTACACCCTGCCCTATTAAAACTGAGTCTGAACCTACTCAGAAGCCTCTCAAACCTGAGCTTGAAAACCCTTGAACAACTTTAAAGGAGCATTCGCCCAAGCTGGAAACCGCCAGCTTCATCGTCGGAGGGCATTTGCATGCAGAACTTTGATGTAACGATGGCAGCAACATGGCGTTCATTGCTGTCATTCTTGAAGAACACAACAACCAACACGACGATGACTACTGACTACTACTGACCACTGCAGCAAATACTACCTCCTCCTCCTACTACTACTACCACTACCACTACTATACTACTACTACTACTGCTGCTGCTGCTGCTACTACGACGACGACTACTACTACTGCCACTACTACTACTACTACTACTACTACTACTACTACTACTACCACCACTCCTGCTACTGCGACTGCCACTGCTACTACTGCCACTGCTACTACTACTACTACTACTACTACTACTACTATTACAACTACAACTGCTACTACTACTGCTGCTGCTGCTGCTACTACTACTACTACTACCACTACTACTACTACTACTAC